CCAGAGATACTGGAACTTTGTAGCTTTTTTGTTCCAGCTCCTTTCTGCTGATGTCACTTGGACCTCTGCCTGTGGCTGAATTCCCCTACTCTCTTTTAAGTCCTCCTCCCCTGGGTAACAGGAAGTCCAGCCCTATACTTCTCCTGTTCAGTGATTGGCTGTAAGCTGCTTGTTGGCATATCAGGGAACGATTGAGGAGCAGTGTTTATACAACTTTGGCACAGGAGAGTCTCAGAATCAACCAGATATAGGGGGTACAGAAATCAGCATTTGAATTATACAATAACATGCCTACATGTGTTAACATACAATAAGATGCACATATTTTAAATGTACTACTAAGTTTTGGCCTAAGAAACCACCAGTAGAACGGATAAGGTGAGTATAATTGTATGGTTGTTAATAATACACTACTGCCAAAGAAGGTGGTACTTTCAAGCTTCAGATAGACATACCTTTTAGGTGGTGGGATGACATTTTTGAACCTAAGTATAGTTACTCGTTGATAATGAGTGATAGCTCTAAATTCTGATTTTTCTAACTCATAAATTCAGTGTATCTCTCTCTTAAGGTATTTTCTGGTTTCACTGTGCCTTCTTTTATAGTTTGCATATTTACTTATTAGACATTATTTGCTTGATGTGTTCTGAAGTATTTGATACTTCAGTACATTATAAATCATACTTTAAAATTTCAGTTTGTGATTGTTAATATTACATGTAAATACAACTAATTTTATATATGAATGCTGTGTCATGCAGCCTTGAAAACTATTAGTTCCTACAGTGTTTTATGAAATTTGTTTCAGTTTCTGCATATATCATAACTTTCTGTGAATAAACACAGTTTTATTCTTCCTTCCTTCTAACTATGATAATATGGCTTTCTTTTTCTTGCTTTATTTTGTTGGCTTCTATCTTCATTATAATGTTGAATAGAAATGACAAAGGGGCATGCTTATATTAGTCTTAGGGCAAAAACTTCCAATAATTCACTGCTACACATGCTATTCAATGCAGACTTTACAAGGTAGTATTTTTATGTTTTTAAAGATACTCTGTTTCTTCATATAAAATTTGAGTACTTGAAATGTAAATATGAGCAACATTCTTGTGACAGTCTTATTTTGTTGTTTTCATAACTTTATCAAAATCTTGTATAATGTGACTGCCTTCAAGAATGACCTTGGAATTAAAAGAGTAAAAATGATACAAGTTAAGTCTAAAGAAACAGGATACACACTTACAGGCAGTCAAATGACTATTATGAACATATAATTACAATGATTTTATGTAGTCACAGATGTGTCATTAACAGTAATGATATCAACTTCAGTTGTTCATATATTCTATATACAGCACACTTATTGTCTTTATTACTCACGAACATTCTAAAAGGTTATATTGCATTCATTTTGTGCAAATTAAGAATGATGTTCAAAGAATCTGAATTAATTAATCTTTGTTCTCTCTGTTTGCATCCAAGCATCCCTAAAGTGACTCATTAGTCTCAAGGGGCAGATTACACTCATGTTCTTGTGTCCCAATCTTGCACGGCAAACCATTCCCCAGGGAACTTTTGTGTCCTCTATCTCAAAGACATGAATGATACAGTCTCAGCAGCAGTCTGGAAAAAGGCTGGGATCCAGAGGACTTGACAACAGCTGCCTGCTCTTTCCAGTGTGTCTGGAGAACCCAGAACAATGGATGACCTTGTTCAACCAATTCTTTTACTCCCAAGTGAACACATGACACCATTCTCCTTCTAATTTTATAGGGATTATATTAAATGATGCAAGCAAAATGCAGTCTGGAGAACTGCCACCTTTTAAAGGACATAATTGTACCATTGTCAAAGACTTTATTGAACTATATGAACATTGTTTGATGTTGGCACATGCCAACTGCTTAGAGTATCACCTGTCTAGTGCACTTCATTTTTTGTTTGTTTTTGAGAATTTTATATACTGGTCATATCTATCCCGCCAACTTTCCCATATTCCCCTATTCGCTACTCAAATTCATATTCTCTTCTTCTGTGCTGTGTATAACTAGTGTTGGTTGCATGTGCTTAGATACAGGGCTTAGCACAATACCAGGGAGCTCCTGCCTGAAAAAAAAACCTGACTCCTTCTCAGTGGCTATTGACTCTCTGTAGCTTTTCATCTAAGGATGAAAACTTTGTGAGCCCCTTTTTCATGCTCAATGGAATGCTGACTGCTAATGTCTTGTGCAGATATCCATAGCTATTGAGAGTTTTGGTTCAACATACTTGCCATGTCCCGAGAACAGTGTTTTGTAATAGTCTTCTCAATTCTCTGGCTCTTAGAGTCTTTCTGTCTTCCCTTCTACAATGTTCCCTGAGCTTTTGCTGTAGGAGTTTCCGGTTGCCAGATGATTAGTGTCATTTTTTGTAGTTCACAGGATTTACAATTTAGGACTGCTGATAATTTTTATAATAGACCCAGCAGCTTCTAGTCTATAATCCGCTAAGATTGGAATTTCAAATTTGTTCAGGAAAGCATTATAATTAATGACGAGAAAAAAAAATTCAGGCTAATGAGAATAGAGAAGAAAGTGAAGGAAGATGAAGAGGAGGAGGACAAAGTGGAGGTTGACCAGGAGGAGAAGAGGGAAAGGGGGAAGGAGTGGAAAGAAATCAAAAAGTTAAGAAGGAGGGTAAAATTCTTTCATTCCATGCTTTAGCACAATACCATAGGGTTCTGGATTTAATAGACAGTGACAGATATTTCCCAATTGTACTTAGCCATCACACAGGCTCAGAGCTGTTTTGCTGGCGCTGCCTAACTAGGCTTCTAGGTCTTATTAACCAATTTATGTCCAACAAAAGCAAAGAGCTTGCTTGTTGTTACTTTGTTTGCTACACTGGAAGCATGATACTTTGGTAAGCAAACATTCTTCAAAATGTATGGGGCATTGTCAGAATTGTAAAATATATATTATTTATTCCTTCTCACACATTTATATAATATATTTTAATGATAGCCATCTCCAACATTCCCTCTTCAACTCCTAGAACCCTCCTGCCACTTCTTCCTTCCAACTATATATACCCTCTTTACAAAGAACATTGTATTCAGTTTGAGGATTTAAATTATTAACAAAAGAAGTGTTTTGGGGGGAAAAAGAATGTCTACAAAATTTTAAAAACATATGAGGAATAATCATGCTGAAAAGCTAGAAAGCTAAAGACTAATATTGAAGCATACATATAACATATGACATATTTTGGGCATAGATATATATAAATATGTATAAACATACATTATATATAAAACATCTAACACAGAAAAAAGCTATGGTGGCAAATATTAAAGACATGAAAAGAAGAAGCAAACTGTCTATGAAAAGAAAGGGTACTATGAAGGGATAGAAGAAGTAACATGTTGGGATGATTATGGTCAAAATATACTTGATTTAAAATACATTTATGAAAGCATAATTAAAAACATAACAAAAGGAACACACATATTGAAGTAAATAATATGTTTTAAGTTTGACTTAATTAAAAATCCTGACATTTTAAAATAACATACAAGAATATGATAAAATATCTATCCCTAAATATTCAAAAAATAGTTTAGTAAGTGTAAAGTTTTAACCTAGATAATAAGAATGCATTACTCCTTTAAAAAGGGGGCCCACAGACCGGAACACAGGCAGCTTTCCTACACAACAAATGTGGGATGTTAAAGTCACAACCTTCCAGCTGTTCTTTCATTTCTGTATTCTGAAGTTTGTTTCTTTTACCAGTAATGAAAACAATTCCATTTTTCAAAATCTTTCTGCAAACACTTCAACTTTATGTAGCACATCGCCCATTGATCTGACCTTTCAATATTTGCACATAAAAAAAAAAAACCTGTTCAAAATGGAAAAATACCAAATATCAAAACCGTGTTATTTGCCTGTGTGAAACTGCCCCCAGTTCCTGTCACTGTGGTACAGTTGATGGAGACCTTGTCTCAGCTCTGTCCTTTACTTTGTAGCTTGAGCTCAGGTTAAACCGACGTCAAGCCCATGCTATTTTCCTGTGTCCTGTCGCTACAGGTGAACAGATGTTTTACATAGCCGCATAGTATTCTTAAAGAGACTTTCATTCTGTTCTCAGTTGTTTACCTGCTTTCCAACTAAAAATATTGCAGGATGGGGGGCTCATGTTGTGGCAAATGCTCACTGGTACAGCACTTTCTGTCTTCTTCCTTTTTACCTACCATTCTTAACCACACACACACACACACACACACACACACACAATGGTATAGTGGATCATATAACTAAATCTAAGAATGGAGTAATAATTCCTGATGAGAAGCAGCTGAAATGAGGGTGCATTCCAGTTTTTCTCTTGGGGCTCAGTCCCTCACAATAGAGAGGGAATGGCAGCGGGAGCTCAAGGTGGCTGGTCACCTTGAGTCCACAGTTTGGAAGAAGAGAGGATAGGAAGGGAGCAGGCAAGAAAATGTCAAAACTTCCTTCGGACACTTCCACATAAAGTTCCCATCATCTTCCGAAAGAGTGCCAGCCGGCGGGGACCAAGGGTTCAGACCCTTGGTCGTCTGGGACACGCTCGTCTTCAGTCTTCTCATGGGAACCATGGGGAGGATGAGGGAGACGAGATGGGCAGCAGTCTAGGTTTTAACATCATAGATGGGCACCACTGCAATGGGTTAAAACCAACTGGTTCAAATCTCAGTACATTTTTGTATTTTTTATAGTCATGTGCCATTGTTTTGACCTGTGCAATTTTCTGATTTCCATACTTTGAGATAACCAAAAAGGAGATTACTTTTTTTTAGCAGTGTGTCCTTCCAATACCTCTCCTCCGTGGGAAATCTAGCCTGGGGGATGGTCCAGGGAGATGGGTTACATGTGGCCAGACTTTCTCACTGCATTGGATGAAGTGCTGACATAGCCCGGGCATCAAAGATGCATTCCACCTGGCCCGTTCCATGAACTCCTATCCATCTGTCTTAACAGAACGAAGTCCTGGAGGTGAAGAAGGAGGAGACTTTGCTGGATCTGGACTTTGACCCTTTCAAGCCCGAGGTGGCTCCTGCAGGTTCCACTGCGGCGACACACTCACCCATGTCTCAGGTATAAAGTGAGTGTGGGATGTTTAGGAATGACAAAGCTTAGCAATTATGCTTCGTTAGTTAACTGGTGATCCCTGTGCCTTTCAACTGATGATTATCCACCTTTCTTTCTGGTGGACAAATATTTCCTATTTGTAAAGTATAGAGATGAAACTTTATTGGTACCAAATATTTTACTCTTCTCTATGCCATTAGCTTTCTCTTGCCACAGAGCTGTTTGCCTGAGACTCGCATCTCACAGAGTAGTTATCAGTGCCTTCCTTGCCCTCAGAGGAGTGCACACTCTGATAATACACCTTATGATTTTCCTAAATAAAGCTCTTGTGGTTTGCTGTTTTCCCTACTTTTTTCCTCATATTTTGCAAGTCAGGGTGTGTTTGAGTAACCATCAGACCACATTGCACAGAAACATGTTTGCATTCTGGATGCTTCTGCACTGGAAGCCACACTTGTGGCCATCTTGCAGAACTGTGTCCTGGCTGCTGATCACGGGTGGATGTGGAATGCTTTTTTTTTCTTGTGCTTATTCTTGCTAATCGCTTCCTCACTCTCTCCTCTTCCGGCTGTTAATGTGATAAGATTCTCTGTTAGAGGGATGCCTGCATTGGCTGTGTACATCTGTGGATGTTGATGCTTTTGGAGTAATTACTGTATTATTGTCTGTTTTAATGGAAGGAGGTCTACACAAAATGTGATGAAACAATAAACTGTGGTGGTAGAGATCTTTAATCCCACTCACTGCTCAGGAAGAAGCAATAGGAGGATTGAAAGTCAGCAGCCAAGCTGCGTTTCAGTGTCTCAAAACAAAATACAAATCAGCAGTATTGACATTGTGTGTCCTAGGGGCAGCAGGGACACGTTTGACTCTCAGAATATCCAAGATATTCTAGCATATTTTAGAATATACTACAAATTAACACTAAAATGTATTACAAAATTCAGTCTTGATGACTTGAGTCATAGCTAACTCCTGAGAAATGCAAACTGCTTGGCGCAGACAGTTTTCTTGCTAATCTATGCTTTGCTGGGCTGACTTGGCTTCTGAAGGTCTACTTGTTTTAAATGAGAGAAGTAATAATCTAAAGTAATAATCTAGCAATCAAATACAACCAGCCTTACAGGTGCTTTGTAAATAAAGATGATCTCTTAGTTAGGAGGCTGTCTCTAATCTCTTCTAGGAGATTCACGATGTGTGTAAATTACCACAATTAGGACAGGCTCTGTGTCTCTGTGGTCTTCCTTCCTGCCAAGGAGAAAGTGATTCTGGCTTATCTGGTGGCTTAACTAAAGGAGTGGCCCTGAAGTCTACATATTTGGATCACCCTTCTAAAGAGCAAGTCAGGTTGAAAGTGACCACACGAATCTATTACGTTCTGAGATGTTCTTTCCCTTTCACTCAAAGCACCATCTCCTTTACCTACCACCATGGCCTTATTGTCAGCTAACATTCTAGCTGCCAGGGAACAGCTTATCTCATGATCTCTGTAGTGCTCAACACAAGCTAGAACAGCCTTTCATGTTCCCAAGGAGTGATTAAACACAATATGTTCTGTTGCTTCTTCCTTAGGAGAAATTTGCAGAGACTTGTGTTATATCGCTTTTATTATCTGTTTTTATCAAAGGGATATAGAGAAAACATCAGGATAGTCAGAAAATGTGTATCAGAAACAGAGGCATCCGCAGATACAAATAAGTGTGGTTTTCAAAGGAGCCTTTGTCTCCTGTCTTCCCTCTTCTCTGATTGGTGCTAACCAAAGCTGCATAGAAGGCCAGACTGTATAAGAAACATCAGTTCACACTGTAGGACCTGGCTTTCTATGGCACAGGTTCTGTAGATGGCAGCTGCCTAGAAACTCATTTACAATAAATGTCTTCCTAGCTTTCTGTTTACCTTTAGTGAGTCAAAACAAGTGGGTAAATGCATCCAGAGTCACAGAGGCATAAGTATAAAGCAATGTGGCTTTAGTAGCAATTTTCTGTCTCAGAAAGAAAGGAAGGTCTCTTCCATTGTCCTCACCCTCAATGTAAATTGCTCTAACTATCCGGATTCCTTCGTGGTTTGGCAAGCTTTATAATGAAAGTATCAGTCGTAAGTGCATGTAAGGCATGCCATCAATAGGTTTTAATGGGTACTTCCTAATGTGCAAGATTGTCAATTAATCTGTTTGATCCCTAACCCAGCATATTGGACAATGGCATTTTAAGAGTCTGTTTGCTATCAAAGTGGTCATAATATATATTCTTGAAGTATTAGGGAGAGAAAAACACATTACTTAAAAATTAAAGTCTCTATTTCCTCAATATATGATAATATTGGAGAACATTTTTTTTCTTTAATGATGTTTGTAGATTGAAGAAACGCAGTCATTGTACATCACACTCAGCACCAAACAAGTTCCTCTAAAGAGCAAAAGGCAGATTGGTCATATTCCTGCTGTTCTCGGAGTATTCACATGTGGCTAAACTCAAAAATCATATAAAATTTAAATATTGGTTCTGTTAGAGTAGCACATTTCAAGTTCATAACAGCCACATGTGACGAGTGTCCACCAAAGTCTGTAACAGAAGTGGAGTGTTTCTGTTTCCAAAAGTGAGGCTATGGAAGAGTGATGCTCTAGATGCATACAGGGTTCATGGTGTCACCATCATCCTTAGCCTCTTTATACTTATCACTAACTGTATGGACTTTTACTCATGGTGCTTTTCTTTGTTTGCTTTTAGACGTTGCCCTGGGACTTGTGGACGGTAAGGCATCTGAGAACTTACTTTACATGTTTTGATCCATAAAACATCGGAAGCCTCAGCATACTGTTTCATTTGTGAGAGAAATAAAACTCATATATTAAATGATAAGGTGTTCCCCCAGAAAAATACCTGAAAGTGTTCAGTGTTTCTCAATCTGAAAAACCTACTAGAGAAGTAGAATCAAAACGCGGAATGTGGATGAGAAAATGGGAGGCAATGGGAACTATTTTTATCGTTATATTCAATTAAGTTTCGTTGAAACGTTTGGAAAATTTGAACTAGGCAGCCATGGATTTGAGTTCAGACCCTAATACTTATAATCTTGTAAATTTGATCAATTTCTAAAATTCTCTAAGCCTCAGCTTTTCTCATCTATACAAAGGATGGTAATGACATCTACCTCAGAGGATTATTTGAGGGTTTAATAAGATATGTGCCTGGCATTTATTCCAGTATGTGGTATGTATCAAGGAAAGGTAGCTATGATTACAGCATTGTTTTTAGAAAGCCAGCCTGATGTGCAAGGTTGAGTACTTTCAGAATTTAGGCTCAGGAGAGAGAGATGAGCATAGCTTTCTGCATTTGAAAATTAGGAGACTGGTGAACCCAATGTGATTTCAATCATTCCTTAGGGAGTATCTTAATCTTAAAAAAGTTCCCTAGAATTTATATGCTAATTTTTAGGATCTTTGAAAGAGACCAAGAGCATAGCTAATAGTTTTTGTTAAAGTTACCATCACTAAGTCAGTACCTTTCACATTGAATTAGTTTTACTTTTGTTTTTACAAAAGAGGGAGAGTGAGTTGATACAGGGCACCAGAATTCTAACCTCAAAGTTGTGTTACTTTTATTGCTGATTGTGGGAATAATACTAATCTTAGTTATCCCAGAATTTTGCAGCTTTAATTATAACTGTAACACCTTTTCTTTCCTCTCTAAAAGGAGTATGGTGAGGGAAAAGATACCTTGTATAAGGAGCTTTTTATTGCTTCAGAGAACAGACTTGCTAGGAATAGTTGTCATAAAAAAAATATATGATATACTATCCATGAATCTTTGTCCAGTCTACTTTACAGGATATTTTTCTTGTGGACAGAAAATGGCTTCCAGGTTGAGGGAAGACTAACAAGAAGTAGTCAATACTCAAGGTAGTCAGTTTGGCCAATATGAATTCATTCTTCATCCAGGACATACATCAAAGATAGACCCTAGTGAAGAATGGGTTTGGACAGATTTTATTTTGATGCTCTTACAGAGCATATGACATTGGAATAATTTCTTGACTTCTATGCTTGGTAGCATCTTGCTATTCTCAGACTCATATATTCATTTGGATAAACATTTTTATTTTATGATTTCCTGTGAACCAATCGGGAAATATCCTCACTGATACTAGAAAATGACACAGGCTCTTTGTGTTTCACTTATGCCTCTTCCACAATTGTCTTAAATAAATTATAGAACAAAATTATTCCTATAACAAAACAAGTTGTAAAATTTAATTAAGTAAAAGCCACAGCATTCAGAAGTATGTTGTCTCTAGATAGCTTTAACATTGCAGTGAAATGTATTCTTATTCTTTATTCTTTTCTCTCCTCACCTTACAGACAAGCACTGATTTGGTACAACCGGTAGGTTGATTTTTCATAAGATTCTGGATTTTAATGATATTTAATATCATTATACTTGTAGTATTGTTTGTAGAATGACTTTTGCCCATGACATTGCTAGTCTCAGACTTGATCTTAAGCAAATAAACTCAAGTACTTTCTGATTTTATTTCACTGGTACTACATTACTGAAGAGCTGTATGTTTCTCATCAAATATCTCATGGTCTATTTCATCTTTTTTTTCCCCTTATGCTTTTCTACATACTTTAAAGACTGACTCTTCAAAAAGTCTTTCTATGTGTAACCTCATCATGGAGGAAACTCCTGACAGTGGTTTGGCTGAAGAGATTCAAAGATCTGAAACTGATATAGGTGCATTTATTTGGGGCCCTCATGCTAGGACAGACAGTGTCAACCAGGAGATGACCCCTAGTGGGTCTCAAGAAGACATTGTCTGTCTTTCTGAAGCAGAGCAAGACATGAGATTATCCGCTGGAATGTTTTCTTCTGCTGACTGTTCTACTGTAGCTGAAGAGGGTGTGGAAGCCCTGTGGCCAGCCCCTCCAGCTAGAAATGAGCAGCTGTCCTCACAGCCTGAACTGGAGGCTGGAGTTGCAATTACTGCATGCATGGAGATGGACCGGTCATATGCATTACTTGACTCAGAGATGCCAACCTTGGGAAAAGCTGACCTGCTCAAAGAAGGTCATGAAGAAGCTAAAATATCAGATGGAGAAATAACACAGAAGCTGAAGGTAGAAGATCCTGTGTTGGGATGTGTAGAGACATATCAAAGGGTAGACACTGGAGCTATTGGTATCAAGGAAATAGAAGACACTGAGGGATCTGAGGAGAAAGTATGTGACAGCCTAGGAAATAGAACACTAAATCATCTCAAAAAATCAGCAGAACAAAGCCAGGGGATCTTTGAAAGCAGTAAAGTGGGAAGTAGGAAAGATCTAAGGGTGAAGTGTAAGGGAAGACTAAAAACCTATGAGAAATATTTTGAGAAAGCTGATCTACTAGAAAAAGACATGGAAAGAGTGTATATGGCAGATAATTTTGGCAACAGACTCCAAGAGTTAGCTGATGGGATTCAAGTAACAATCAGTCATCATAAAAATGTAGAAGGCTCTGGAGCTATACCGGCCAATGACACAGAGATCTGTAATCTGCTTATTCAGACTGATCCTCTGTCTACTAGTAAAGATTCAAGCACTGGGGAATGGGATTTAACAAAAAAAGAGATAGGGAAACATTCAGTAGGCCCTCACAACCATTCCACAAAACTTCATCTAGCACAGGAACGTGCAGGTGCAGAAGAAACTCACTGTGGCATTGCAGTCAATGCTCATGGAGCTGACAGAGATAAGAGTGAGACTGTTGCTTTGTCAATCAAATGTGCAGTGGCAGTGGAGTCGAAGACTGACCCTAAGTGTTCCCTGGAAACTCTTACAAACAGAAAAGGGCAATGTTCATATGAGGGAGAAGATTCATCAGCAGAGGGTTTTGCAAGTACAGTGCCTAAAAACTCTAGTCATGACATTAAATTGCCAAGGACTAAAATGACAGATTCTTGGGGAACAGATCCAGGTCAAATCTGGCAGCCAGACTGGAATTCAGGAATAAATAGTGTGGATATAATGGGAGTCTCTGGTATTCCAGATGGCCAAGCAAGCAGATTTGCCAAATGGCATGAATCTAATAGCCACTGGCCTATCAGAGATATGGAAGGTTTACATTTAGTAGAAAGTAAGAAAGGACTGGAGGAGGACTTGCCAGCAGATATATGTGGGAAACATGCCAGTGCTAGCAGCTCAGATCAAAGCCAGGAGACAACTAGACCATTGGTTCAGGGAGCCTCCTGGAACGCTAGCATGGAGAGTCCTGATAGTCCCCAAGACAATGACATCAACAACTCAGATTTATCTGAAGATGAAATTGCTAACCAGAGATATGGATTGTTGTACCGAGAAATAGAGGCTGATGAAGATGAGGTACTTACCCTAGAATGTGGCGTAGACTAGCCAGACTTCCTTAGGTTGTGTTTTCCTTACGTCTCTCACCAACTTCATTCTCCGTCATTGATTTCCTTGACAGACATACCTCTTGAAACCTACGTAAACCAAACACAAACAGGTTGACAAAAAAAAAAAAAAAAAAAAAAGAAATCTATGTTATGATTGTACTCAGAATTAGTGGAGTCTTTCTTACCATCCTACTTTCTGAGTAATTCTCTCTCTCCTTCCTCCCTCCCTTCCTTCCTCTCCCTCCTTTACCCTCCCAACCTCTCTCTGTTCAGATACTAAAATGTGTTAAACCATGAGCAACACAGACTGACTGTTCCTAACATGGCTCCACTCCAATAAAAGCAAATAAAATGTTTCTACCCAGGCTCACTGAACCAAAAAATCTTAGTTGCTCATTCATTAAAGTGATGTATATCAATGACTGAAAATAAATATTAGCTCCCATGGTTCTTGCCTAGAATTGTCTTCTCATTATTGAGAAGGTCAGTGTTGGTGAACACTGAACTACATGCCAGGGACAATTGTAAAGGTTTATATATTTTTTTTGTCAGCCTATTTATAATAATACAGCATGGCTTTCGTAGTTCCTAAGCACTTTCAAGCAAAGCAACCTGTTGTATTATTTTTAAATTTGTGTGTGGTAGTCATTACTCTCCAGCTTGTCTAATTGACAATCACTTATCCTACGAAAGTGTTGAGAAAAACAAATCACATCCGTTTTCCATTTCTTTTAGGCTTCTGGGGGTTCATTTAATGGCTTTACACAGGTAAGGAGAATCTGTTTTCTTTTTAATATATTTTTAAGTAGCAAAAAAATAATGTGGTACATTCCTGTAAATTTAGCACTTGAGAGGCAGAAGCAGGAGATCAGGAGTTCAATGCCAATCTTGACTACATGGGGAGTTTGAGGCAGGTCTATATTCCGTGGCACTCTGTCTCAAACAAACAAAAGGCATTATACAACTTAGAATATGACAGCATGAATGGGCTACATGTCCATCACACCATCCAAAAGGTTGTATGTGGCAATTTAGAGAGGATTTACTGAAATTCCAGTCACCTGCTGTCTGTCTCTACTATAGATTGATGACAGTTTCCCTGGAAATGCAAGCATTATTGGAGAGGGACCAAATAAAAATCAGAATCTGTTTTCTTATAGGAGCAACCTGCTGATGATGATGTGTTTCCTTTCTGTGTGGGTTTTGTGCCACGAATCCATCAAAATGGTTAAGAGCGTCAGCACAAATTTGATCTCACTACTTACAACTTGAGCAATGGAGACAGCACTGTCTGTGGCATTACTGTAATGAAGTGAGCTGTCTGTGCTGTGCCCTTACCCAGCAACTCAGAACATTAAGTGCTCCATAATGCTGTGCCAATTTTCTACTAGTCATTAGAAGTGCTTCCAATCTGAAAGATCCTCTAGACTCAGCTGTGGGAAAACAAAAGAGAAGGTTATTTTGACTAAGGTGATGGATCTTAGAGACGATGATTTTTAAGAGCTCCTTCTAAAATGTTATAGTGAGCTACATCATATACAGCCATATCTTTAATGATTCTCCAGAAAAGAGCCATCTGAAGATTCAAAACCACACTCTGGCTCTCTCCAAGAAAGCAGTGATTCCTGGGTGTGTTCCGCTAGCACAGACTTATGTTTAGACTAGTTCACCTTAACACTTGCTTGCTATTCTTCTAATGATTTAAAATGTGACTTTCAAAAACATTTAAAATGCACTTATTGATACAAGTGACGGTTACTAATTTGGATAGCTTTTTTATATGCCCCATTTTCTTCCTCTCTTCAGCCCCAGGACACTTCTTTATTTACCATGCAGGCAGATCAGAATATGGTAGGTGGTTTGGTAAGTTGATGTGGCCATGTTTGGGGACAGTTGTTAGCTATCACGGGATGTTCCATTTAGCTGGTCCTGCGAGCTCATGTGGAGCTTTCGCCTAGAGAACACGATTTCTGCCACTCCTTTTCAGAGAAACAAATCATATGTAAAATCTGACTCTGAGCTTGTTTACTCCTGGCGCAGTGACACCAGCAGGAGCCAGCCTCTTGTGGTAATTAATCATGGCCCTCGGTGGAACTCAATGACTCCGTCAAGGTCACAGGTCTCTATGTGACTATGACGTAAGCTACAGGGTTGAAAATGAACTTGCCTCAAGAACGTATGCTTCAACTAACATACCGTTGCCTTTTGCCTTGAGCTTGGAGCTACCAATTTTTTATTTCAGCCCTTCATTTTGTTAAGATCTAGAGAGAAACATTTACGGGCCAGCTGATGAAGAGAGTAACCTCATGGAATGAGTGGGGACAGAGGAGATTCTTAGAAGGTGGAAGTTGCCATTATCATGGGAAGCCTTTCATCAACTTACTAATCAGGCTGATTGCAGCGTCCTTGAGAGATGTCACTGTGTGTTTACGCTGCTGCAGGACAGAGGGCTTGCACTTGCTGAGGACTGAAGAGGATGCTAGCATTCCTATGGGTTTTCTATAGAAATACTATGTAATTATATTAGGTAACAGCTTTCACATTGTAATTTTGGAATTGAACCCACAGAGAATAATTTTTTTCTTTCTATACTTTTTCAGTTTTAAGAAGGCTCAGAAATTTGTGAAAATTTAATTTTGGTAATATTCTGCTATCTTCTCAGTGAATTATCATTTGTACCATCAAGTAGAAGACAAAAATCTCTGTGGGTTTTCAAGTATATAGTATTAATCACAAAACCAAATAAACGTAGTCTTTATGTCCAGTCTTTATTGGGCATTCTCGGCCTTGATGATTTAACTTGAATGGTGAGGTTTATAGTTACCGATTTTGAACAGTTAGGGGAAACTCAGAAATGCAGGAATAAAAGAATGACTATTGGTCATGATTAAATTCATATCTACTATGTCCATCCAGAAAGTCCAAGCTCAGAGCCATGGTCTCTCAGTACCTCGAGTCTCTCTACACACTCTGTTGTTAGTTGTGTAGGTCATGTAGGCTTTTGTGCTTCACCTCCCGTCCTTTCCACATATATTCTCCCAAACATACACCGTACTTCTTAAACTCTGCTGAGGAACTCAGCTTATCAGGCCCTGCATTGCAAATGCTACTCAAATTCTTGCTACAAGGAACTAGGCAACCACCACGCGCTGTGACTGTAATCTAGAACTATCAGTAAGTTTTTGCTGTGTAGCATCTATCTCAGGAGCAGCAAAGCTCCCACACTGGATCCCTTGACTATGTCGAGCAAAGGGGACTGAAGCAAAGGGGGTATTCAGCGTACATCTCCTTGTTGCTGTCTCATGGACCACAGAACATCACTATGGACCGGTTGAAATCATTTTGAGCCTTCAGACCTTGTTCTTAGTTGCCCTTTTCAGTTTGTATTAAATAGCTCTTATAAGCCTGAAGAAGCAGTGCTAGAAGGCATGTGCCATGTTGGCTTATGAATAGACTCTCAACTCTCCCGGTCCATCTCTGCCTCTGCCTGACCTAGCTTAATCTCATTACTGAGGGTTTTCAGGATATGTGCTACAAGACTACACAGCCAGCTTTATTCTGAGGAATTTTTATTCTCAAGAAAGAATTATTTCTAGTGCCCCAAAATAGACATAGCATGTTATCAGTCCATTAACAATATCTGTCAATATGTTCCTACCTTGTAGGAATAACAATAAACACAGCTGAAGCAGAGTCCAATTCACATGATAGGATTTGAGAGTTTTCCACAAGATGGTGCTTTAAAAGCTGGATTTTGTTGGTATATTGTAGGAAGATATCTATATTATCTCAGAATGAATAGAAGAGTGACCTATAAGTTGAATTTCAGTAGTGGAGTTTATGCAGAGCATGTTTCATACTTACTTCTTATTACTGAGTTGCATTTTGGCCCCTAGAACTTAAGTCACAGCCACGGTTATTAGAACTCAGTGAGCATGTGTACCATGTGAGAAAACTCCAACCCAATGTCTGTTTCCTTCCATTCTATACTTGCACTTTTTTATTTTAACAAGGAGATACAGTTAGACAATTGAATAACACCACCCTCATTATTCTTACTTAAACAAAACTTTAGAATTTCCCCAGATTTCTAGAAATCGAAGCCAAGAATCTGAACATTGTTACGTATTTTCAGGTATCATTGCATTTTTAAAATTCTTGATTTTTTTAAAAAAAAATATTTTCATATGAGTTTGGTATCAAACCTACTCTTGGCTCCTCATCAGCTTCAGATGTCCTCCATAGCACAGACTCATCTGGCCAGAAAAGAGCATCTTAAAGGTTGTAAAACCCTGAAAAAGTTTAAATCATTGCACACTTGTCTGCCAAAGTGTCTTTTAATTTTATTATGCCCTTTGAAATTACCAGTTGTATGGTCATGGTACATGCCACAGTGAGTGAGCTCTTTGGTGGAGGCTATGAGAAGTAGTTTTTCTGTTTCTTCTGCACTAAGTGGCTCACTTTAGAACAGTTTCTCCATTATTTTTCTGTGAAATTCATTGTGTGCTGAATTAATGAAGTATACAGGAAAAGAAAAAGGTTTTGAGCTAAGAGATGCTAGAGCATATAACAGGTATTGGAGCTTAACTCATGAGGACAACAGTATCTCACCTTGCCCCCATAGTGTGAAGGGTCTAACTGAGACCATGGAGAAGACTAACCTATGATTCCTTAAGTAACTAGTTCATTTATTAAATAAATGGATTGCTACAGATTTTTTTGATGATAGAGAAAAATGGACTGAACCAGAACCTCAAAAAAACAACAAAGATTCTGTAGTTTGTGAAGTAGCCAGGTATTTTATGAAGTAGTCTGCTCTTCCAGCTTTGAAAATGATCCACCGCATTAAATAAATATCTTGTAATTTGCACACTGGAATGATTTCTCCATTTTTAGTGTAATATATATTTATACACTGAAAGATCACAGAACTATGTGCCCTACAAATTCTTCGTGACTCCTTCCACCTGGCAAATGTTGGAACTTCTAGAGATATTTTCTCTGACTCTCTCCTCTCTCTTTTTCTTTCTCTCTCTCTCTCACCCTCTATGTGTGTCTGTCTGTCTGTCTGTCTCTGTCTCTGTCTCTGTCTCTTTCCACACAACAGAAGAATCATTTTAGGTTCTTTTATACAGACCATAGCAACATGAAGACAAACTGTTACAGGTGAATGCAGTGGTAGGTCTTTGCCCGACTTTGAGGGAAACAGTTCTCGAGCCTGTTCAGAGGAGCTTACACAATTCCACTCCTTGATGCTTCAGTTCTGCTCATGACACCAGATGAGAGATTTTTATTTCCTAGAATGGATTTAGTGGGACTAGCCACCTGTTGTGAATGATGATGATGAGATCATGGATTGTCCAGTGTTCTGTAAGTTTACGTATTGACATGTTGAATCTTCTTTTCTTCTTACCTCTGAATAACTCAAGGCTGAAAATGAACAGGCTCTATCCACAGAGCCCCAAGCAGAGGAGCCTCCTGCCACGGCTGCTGCACCTGCTGCTGGGCTGGACCTTGGACTAGAGATGGAGGAGCCAAAGCAGGAGGCAGTGGTGAGCACCACTCCCTGCCCCCTCCATTCATTCTGCTGCCTCCTTCAAGCTTCTTCCATGGCCCTTTGTATCGCTTCCTGTCCAGGCCTCTGCTGGCCTGGATCTCCATTGGCCATGGTTCCCAGGATCAAAAAGCCTTTTCTACTTACATAGTAGAACTCAATTCCCTGATATTATTGGTGTTTTGTTGTTGTTTTGTTTTGATTTGATTTGTTTTGTTTTGTTTGAGACTATACCAAAGAACTGAACTTATAGATTAGGGAAACTGCTATGTAACCATAGCAGCAGCTCTGCCAAAACTGTGCCTTTGTCGTTTCTGATGCATTTTCCTTTTGTCAGTGGAGAAGCTGCAAAATGTGTAAATAATCAACCCTATTTTTGTGTTCTTCCTGAGACAGCAAGAAGTGTCCTGTAATTTGGGATCAAATTGACTGAGATAAATGTAAAGATAACTTTGTTGGTCATATCTGTGCGTTACTGGCAGTCAGGTTTGAACAGAATATTTCCAGATTCTTGGCCCTTTATCCAAAACAATTGAAAGTGAGGTCTCATACAGACCTGTAACAACAAGGAAAAAAAAATTATTTGGAGCAAAGTGAAAGTGTGGATTAAAGAGAGATATTCTGACAAGATTGTCAGCAGGCCACACTAGGGAATATGCTCAAGGGCCTCAATTATGCTTCCTCCTATAGTGCTCAAGAAGGTGGGCTGGCTACTAAGGGGCACAGTTTGAGTGGTTCTTGATTTTATTGAAAGATTAGGTTGCATCATCATTTCTCTGCTATGCATGTGCTTTTCCATAACGCATCTAATCTTAATCATCCTAAGCATGACCAATTATGCATAGGCTTGAGATGGTCCCTGAAAGAGGACACAGTTTTGGCTTACTACATATGCAGAAAAAAAAGCCAGATTGGCCCTTTTATTCTTTATACCCAGATATGTTTGGAATTCATTTGAGTAGTAGCTATCTAATTGGGTTATTACCGGGGACCGGGGCATATCATTGCTCAGAAATGGAAACACATTTAGCCTGATGCATATGGGAATTTAAGGAGAGTCTGTAGTTTAGGTGCATTGCTTGTATAGGAGTGCTTATACATAATATGTGCAGTAATAGAACTAGGCGGCCAAGAGCATAATTACAAGTGTGGGGGGGTGCATTTCATAACCCAAATCCAAATGGATGTCTGTAGCTCCAATGCTTGCCTGCCATATATGAATTGAACCCTTTTGGTTTAACTCTCATAAGTTGGTACACCATAAGTTGGTGATGGCCCAATATTGAACCAATGGTATATATTTTAGACCTGTGACTCTATAACGGTTGATTCTTTTCAAATATATCTTCAAAATCCAGTCTATGCAGGCCTTGAAGCTATGAGGACCTTAAAGATACCTTTTGTGCTGGGTTGGAGATCCACCTGATAGCTCAGATACTTTTTCTTACCCTGAGGCAGACAGCCATGAGGAACAACTGCCGGGGCTAGTCCTGGCCATTGACAAGGTGGCCCAAAAGGAGATAAGGAGTTCATGAGAGAGGAGTGAGTCAGGCACAGTGGTGAGGGGTCTCTTGCAGTTCTGACCACTAGCAGTCAAGTTGCCTTTTTATCTATACGGGTTTTACAGAACAAAGACAGACTAATGATTATCCAAGGAGTATAGATTATATCATTTTGTCTCTGGACATGTGTTTGATTTTTCATCAAATGTCCAGGGTCACAAGTTCAGTCACAATTAGAAAGTACAAAAGAGCAGATTTTATTTATATTATTAGCCCTATAACTCCGATTCAAAAAAATCTAAAGAATGTCTCCACCAAATCAAACACATTTATTATATGACAGCCTGCTTTTAGTCTGGCAGTATTTTCAGTGTTAAAGCACTCCAGACAAATAGAAAATATCTGAACTGTTCTTTTTATGAATAAAAAAATACTAATACCTAACTCCTTTTTACTGTATCATTTTATCATGTATGTTATAAAGTTGGAAAGGCTATTTTAGTCAATTTATCTTATTTACTGAGTTCTATTCCTTCAGGGTGTACCCTGTATTACCTATTATCCCCTATCTTTAAATCACATTTTCCAAGAGCTCTAAATGAATTTCAAAAAAGATGTTTTGAATCTGTTACCACTTCTGGCCAGTCAGTGTTGGTCAATTGTTCTAATTACAATTACAACAAGGTATTGTTCTAATTATACTGTCTGAGTTTACATACCCTGAGAAGATTCCTGGAGTCATGGCCTCATCTATGCTTCTCATGATTTCCAGAGCATAAGGAAGACTTCCAAATAGGACCAGATAAAGTTATTTTCCTAAAAAGCAGAAGTGAAAGTAAGTTTAGGATTTTCCTAATAAGACTTAGACATAATTATCTTGGGAAAAGACATGAAATGGATCATATTGCAGAAAGTTGCCAAGAATGCAACATGCAGAGACCAAAACCTAAAATTGAGAGACAGAATGACAGTGATCATAGCATTCAGCTCAGCTTTGCTGGAACTGTGTCAAACAGCTGTACTGGCTTTATGATTTTCACTGTTTCCAGTGGATATGGTTGTTCCAAAGACCCACACTACAAACAGGGATAAATGTCAACATTCAGTAAGCTCATGGATTGCAAAATGCCCATGAATGTATATATAGAAAAGATATCCCCCAAAAGTTTAGTGTTCATTACAGCATTCACAGAATATACACAAATAGAAAATCAATTTCCACCTTGCCAAAATGCTGTTTCCTGGACTGTGTACTACATAAACGAAGGCTATGGTAAGTGTTATTGGTTCCTATGGATGCCTTAAGGAGGAACACATAGGTAATCTGTCAACTCAACAATTTATTAATATATCATTAATAAATATTAACAAAAATAATAATTAATAAATAAAAAACTAAATTTAGGGTACAATAGAAACAGAAAATACACCTTAAGTCTATTTCTTAAAAACTAAGGCTGAAGAGATGGTCCATTAGTCAACAGTATTTGCTGTTCTTGCAGAGGACTTGGGTACGTTTTATAGTACCCACATAGTGGTTTGTGGCCATTCTTGACTCAGTTCCAGGCACTCTATCACCATCCTCTGGCCTCCACAGAAATCAAGCACACAGTCAATGTCCCTACATGCATACAAACAAAATGTTCATACACATAAATTAAGACTCAGTAAATATTTAAACAGAATTTTTAAAGCAAGTTAAGAAAACTTTAATATTGCCCATTGAAAATGTGGAGTGGGAGAAATGTATTCAGCTAGTGAATCCCTTCTAGAGGTGTCTATTGCTTGTGTGGACTTCATGTCACCACCACCCTCAAATTTTATTGGTAGGCTCAGTGAAAACGTATGGCTTTCGCTTGGTGGCATGCTGTTAAGTTGTGACCTGTTTACCCACCTTAACTGTTTGGCCACTTTAAATGAAGGAGAGAGGCTGAGGCTCAGTGTGTGGCAAGCTTGCTGTACAAGTATGTGGTCCTGAGTTCAGATCCCCAGGACCCACATAAAATGTCAAGCATGGTGACATAATCCCAGCACTGGGAGACAGAGACTGTAGAATTATAGGAACTTTCTAGCTGGATAGTTTAGCCAAGCAGTGAGCTCCAGGTTCAGTGAGAGATATAACCTGTTTCAAAAACCAAAGTGGAGAGCTAATGTCTCAACTCTGGCCTCCACAAACACACGTGAGTATGTATATCCATGCATACATGCACACACACGAACACAGAACAAGGAAAACTACAACTGATATTCTTGACCAATGTTATAATTAAAGATATCATTGATTTTGTGATGAGTGTGGCCAATAACAGGGAGGTAAAAGACGATGATTTAGATTTGGAAGAAATGATTTGATTCTGAAATGTTCTCATCCAGTTCCCATTTCTGGATGTCAGACAGCTTCTTCTCCATCTGTGCTTTTGTACTATATTGATCCCAGGCCCCAGAACAAAGCCTAACTACATAAAGCCCATGACACTGAGCAGAAGGGTGGAGATGCAAAGCAGACAAGCCAATGCTCTAAGCACAGGCACAAATAATGGTGCTCTGTGATCCCTTCCCAGGTTGTCTAGGCCACCCGTCACCACGCTCCTCCAAATTCTATACTTCTTCAAGTAGATTTTTAAATACATTTTAAGTAAAATATAATTACAACATTTAGCCCTCTCCTTTCCTCCCTCCAGCCTCGCCTATGGCCCCTCCCTCCAACATTTCCCATGTTCCCAACTCAAATTGATAGCATTGATTATTACATATATATATATATATATATATATATATATATATATATATATATATA